ACTGGCTGTCAAGAGCCTGTCCATCCGGCGCACAAGAGTGGACAACAGGCGGGGGAGCGGGTGGGGGGTGGAGGACATTGATGTGGATGTCAGGGTGATGGGGGGGTTGGGTGGTGGGCAGAGGGGTCCCGTCAGCAGCAGCTGAATATGAGAACAGGTGTGACTGGATGTTTCCAACAGCAGTGACATTTAGTCTGCCAAAGCCACACTTTATCTCTATCAGCGGAGACTGCACAGATTTACTGCTATGAAATATTATAAGTCTGTCTGAACGACTCACTAGAGGGGTACTGCTGAAAAAAGAATGCCACACGCATGATCTAGCACCGTGAACAAGACAAAACATATGTGTCAAACATGATACAGTTTGAACAAGTGCCATGTAGCAGAGTAGAAGTACATATTGGTCAGAGCTGTGGCCTGGCAGTTAGGAGACTTCAGGCACATTAATGTACATGCTTTTGTTCTCATCATCTTGCTACTTTTGTTGTGTATAAAAAGCTCTAAAAGAGTAAATGTCATGTGATCCACAGGTAGCACAGGACAGAAGGCTAGAACGATGCCAGATTCACCTGCTGATGTCAAAACCCAGCCCAGGTCAACTCCGCCCACAATGCCACCTCCACCCCCTGCTGTCAGCCAGGCAGCCAATCGCAACGCATCATTTACACCCACAACAAGTAAGTTGTCTTAGTACAAACATGCATACATTTGTTTTTGGAACTTGCTGAATTCACGAGATTGACCGACCGACAATGTATTGTGATGTGCCGAGTGTATGTGTGATTGGCAACATTTTATAGGTAGCTAACTTAATAATAACACATTGGAGGTAACTCTATCATCACCTTGAATACTGCAGTTTATTACCACCACAGTAACACCACAGATAGTTCACCCAAAAATGAAATTTCTGTCATTAATTACTCACCCTCATGTCGTTCCAAACCGGAAAGACCTTCGTTCATCTTCAGAACACAAATTAAGATATTTTTGATGGAATCCGAGAGCTTTCTGATCCTTCATAGGCAGCAAGGGTACTACCACGTTCAAGGTCCAGAAAAATGCCAAGAATATCGACAAAATAGTTTATACTATGTCAACAATTCTTCTCCTCCGCGTCACCCTAGTGCCATTTTGCCATTTGCTTTCCTCTGAACGTAAACAAGGCGCAGCACATGCGTGTTTTAGGTCAGCAGCGCCACGCGCATGCGTTGTTTACGTGCAGATGAAAGCACGCACATGCACCACGATACTCTCCAAAATGACGCTAGGGGTGACGCAGAGGAGAAGAATAGTTGAATAAAGTCGTTATTTTTGTTTTCTTTGTGCACAAAAAGTATCCTCGTAGCTTCGTAAAATTATAGTTGAACCACTAATGTCACATGGACTATTTTACCGATGTCTTTACTACCTTTCTGTGCCTTGATCATGATCATAGTACCCTTGCTGTCTATGGAGGATCAAAGAGCTCTCAGATTTCATCAAAGTATCTTAATTTGTGTTCCGAAGATGAACGAAGGTCTTACGGGTTTGGAACGACACGAGGGTGAGTAATTAATGACAGAATTTCCATTTTTGGGTGAACTATCCCTTTAAAAATGTACAATGGGACAGTGCACTTAATAAACATGCTAATTAGTGCAATGCCAGAACATAGAATAATTTAAATGAGCCAACAAGAGTTATTGTCACGTTCAGAGTATTCATATAGTACAGAATGCCCTTGCAACATGACCAAGAGTGTTTGAGAGGGTTTGTGTATGATAGGTTGAGCCATTGTCTGGGTGTGTGAGTGCTTAGGATACACAGCAAGAGATTTGTTTACTGCATACGGAGGGATTCGCAGGCAGCATCAGGCTCGACAGGGCTTGGCAGATCTCGCTACCCTATATAGCAATGACGGGCCTTGTTGTTTCACCTGTTCCATGGGTCATAGCGTAGCCTGCTTGCCACTCTAAAACCAGAACACAAGTGCGGGGGTCACATGGTAAACCCACATGTTTCCAGCCTGGAATGGCAAGATAAAACGGGGCACAAGCGAAAAGAAAGACCCTGTGTTCTGCAACATGAAGCCATGCACACACTTACCCAGCAGTGTGAACATGCCACCGAACCTGGAGCAAAGCTAGCTTCCGAGGTGAGTTTGCACAATCACATGCTTCTCAATGTCCCGGAGGATTATGGTCTGTAACTCTAAGTCCTCATGCTGTGTCCACTGCTCGCATAATGTTTGTTTATCTGTGGTCATGGCTTCAGGTGCAGGTAACATAAGATATAAGGCCTACTGTTAGGGAGAAGGCAATCAACTATCAGAAGCAAGAATAAATAGTGCAGGGATGAGATGGGGATGGAGTGGAAGTGTCAATGGGGCGGCCTGGACTCGGAAAGCTGCAAATCTGCTCTCAGCTGGTGGACATGTGCACAGCCTGATTTAGACACACACCTGCTGTTGGAATAAAAGTAACCCAGTCCAGGGGGATATTTTTGGAAACTCTTTAACACGTTCCTCTTATAGTTGTGTCTTAGTGAGTGAGTGAGTGGGTGAGCAGTGGGGAGCAATAGACCGGGTGGGCGGCATGTGTGTATGTCATGGAGAAAGATAGTGAAAGAGAGGTTGCTGCTGGACCCATTTGTGGTTTGTTTGTTCAAAGTAGAGAATGAAGTGAAGAGTACAGAGCAATGTGCTGCGTTACTGTCATAGTGTATCTGTAGTTTCAGTTTGTTTTTTGACCATTCTCAGAATGCATGTGCCCTCTTCGTGCTATGTTGGAGCTTCCTGGAGGGCGCTTCCCAGGACTGAGATGGAGAAAAAGGAAAGCAAAAGAGTTTGGCGTGACTTAAATGATGCTAATACAAACAGTGGCTCTCTTTCCTCAGTGCTGAATGGGAGCAGTCATTCCCCCACAGCACTAAACGGAGCTCCCTCAACCCCCAACGGCTTCAGCAATGGACCGGCCACCTCCTCTACCGCTTCTCTGCCCACCCAGCAGCTTCCCCCTGCCTGCGGAGCCCGACAACTCTGTAAGCTTAAGCGTTTCCTCACCACACTGCAGCAGTTTGGCAACGACATCTCGCCCGAGATTGGAGAACGTGTACGCAGCCTGGTGCTGGGGCTAGTGGTGAGTGTCTTAATGGCTCTCTTTATCGTTGAACTGTGTGTACTGTCTACAATTCTTTTCTTCACTGGGAGTTAAGTGGATTTCTTTTTCTGTCTTATCAGAACTCAACTCTAACCATTGAAGAGTTCCACTCCAAACTTCAGGAAGCCACAAACTTTCCCTTGCGTCCCTTTGTCATTCCATTTCTCAAGGTAAGAACAGGCATAAAAACATTAATCTCATACATACAGTTTTTTCTGCCAGTAATCATGTATAGCGAGACTTTGCATTGCATTGTTCTGGCCAAGAATTGTTCACTTAGGCCCTGTCCACACGGAGACGCGTTTATACGCAAACATTTTGTATCGGATTGGCATTTCGTCCAGACAGATCCGGCGTTTTGGGAGTGTGAAACCACTATTTTTTGAAACCGGGTCCCAGAGTGGATAAATCTGAAAACTGTTAATTTTCTAATAACAAACAAATCTCTTGCATATAATCAAAGATTTGATAGCATGAACCATGCAAAATTTGTCCAGTGATCCAGAGTTCGTTTTTGGAAATGCTCATTGTAGCAGCCAGGGAATTTGTTTCCCTACAGACTGATAAAAACGCATGCACCCTGCCTTGTAAAACCAGCCAATCAATTTGCATTTCGAAAAAGTTCTTGGCATTTTTATGTAATATGCATCAGACGATGAGTGAACGGTCTGCGGATGTGCCATCTAAAGTGGAGACTACTCCATCAGAGTTCTTAAAAGTCTTTCTCTATCTGTATGAGGAGCTCTTCCTTATGGTGCACCATATGGGAAGGGGAGGAGGAGGGTAGTGGGACTTTGAGACAGACAGGCAAAGTGACAAACAAAAAGAAGGTAGATGGATTGCAGCCAGAATCGGCACACACGTAAACAAACTCACTCTGTATCTCACCCTGACCCCAGATACATAGTTTTCTGTAAGTGTAGATGAGTGAAGGCCATTTGATAAAGCATCCTCAGCCTCTTCCAACCCCCCTGCTTTGCTGTGGCTGGGCTGTGCTGATCTAGAGCTCCATATGGCCATCGTTTGTGATTCATTAAAATTGGCACACTTGTGTTTACCCAGAGTGGAGAGAAGTGGTGTGGGCCAAAGAAGATTTCCTGGCAGATGTTGCAGTGGGTGCTGTAAGCAGCACAGCTTTCCGTTGCTCTGCCGCTGTTGTCTTTATGCTGATCCCTTTCTGTCCTCAGACATCACATAGATCCAGGGCTCATACACATACACAGATTCTCTGATGCATTGTAATTCTTTCTCAAATTATTCTGCATTGATGTACACAAATACATGATCAGAATGTGAAATTAAATCACTTGGAAATCACTATGTTGATTGCATACTTAATTTCAAAAGATGTAGTGACAAAAAATATGATGCATCATGACTCCCTGAATCACCCCAACCCAAACACACATGTGAATACACAGACATACATATGTCATCTCTGTGTCTGGTAAACATCCAACCCATTCACATGCTTTACTACTGCAATGCATATAGTGATAAAACAGATTTAAACTGTCAGTCCCAAGTTGGGTGCTGAAAGAATGTTCTAGTACTGAAGAGGCCTCAAGTCAGATGCCACACTCCCCTGACCAGCATAAAATATAGGGACACCTAGAGACAACAGTTCAAAAACACATTCACAAATGTAAAAATCTAATTTCAGCATATAGATATTACCCATAACTGGTTGTAGAGAGATAATGTGTCCATTGACCACAGAATGGAACAAGAAAATGTTTGGTGTGGAAAGTTGCCTTGGAGGCCCCCCACCCCCCCATCTTCCACTATGCGTGTGTGCATGTTAGTGAGATATAGACTACACAAGACATATCTCATAGTGTGAGTGTTTTATTCAAAGCAGAGCACTGTGGTACATGGCACCCAGCACATTGCTCACAGGCTGCTGTCAAAGGCCTGCAGAGTGTTGATGTTACACATCTGTATCATCAGCCAGCTGTGTAGTGTTATACTTACAGCCAAAGAGAAAAAGACAACAAGCAAGCAAGGGAGAGAGAGAGGCAGCAGAGTTCTCCTGCAGACCTCAGCAAGGCACAAACACATGGTGGGCCAGAGAAAGTGTCTGTTTTATCTCATCCTCTTTCTTTCTCTCTCTCTTAACACAAACCCTATTAAAAGAACAACATAACTGGCCATCAGAATATGCTGTGTTTTAAATACTGGTCAGCTTGGGATGCTGATGTACTAACATAGGTTGAACTAACTAACCTAAACGGCAAGCCTTATTTGGTTAACCAGCTTCAGAAAAACACATTATAGTTGACTAGATTAACCAGCATTGACTAGCATAATCCAACGATTGCCCCCACTAAGAATATTAACTTGCATAACCATCAAGACTTACTTTATTAACCAACTTATGCAGAAAGCCATTCTGGTCAGCATTCACCAATAATGTCAATCACAAATCATAAGCTAGACTAATACCAAACGAGGACTAAACAGCATAAACCAGCCTGTATCACCAATAGACTTGTTAACTAGCTTAACTAGGCTTGATCAGAAAGAACTGGTTAACCAGCTTCACTAACCAGATTTTGCTAGTGGTCCACTCAGGCCCGGCTCCAGAATCAAATCGCTGAGGGTGCTTTTTAAATTAGTGAGGGTGCTTTAACCTTAATATATAGGCTAGCTATATAAAGGTTTTAGTGCCGTCCATTGCTATTGCGCAAAGAGTGCTCCGTTTATCACTAAAAAGCTGTCACTCATCACAATCTCGCAAAGTTATGTTATAATCAATGAAGTTCTCTACGCTGCACAATGAATATATTATTTACATTGCACCTACTAAACTTTGTTATAATTAGATGATTCGTGCTGAACACAGCACCTGCAAACACTCAGGCGATTTGAGCGGTGAGTGGATTCTTAAATGCCTTTGATTGACCGTTGAGTACAAGGAATCAACAGATATGTCTGTGATTGGCTATTGCTCAATGCTGCAAAACACGTTGAAATAGAAACCGATCTCCAAAATGCAAACCATAATGCACTGGATAGTTTGCCAAATCTGCAATTAAAAATTCCATTATTACAGCTTTAACTGAGGGTGCTATTGATTTTGTTTGAGGGTGCTTAGTACCCTCTAGCATCCCCGTAGAACCGGGCCTGGGTCCAGTGGCACCAAACCAGCACTACTGATCCTGGAGATTTGCGTTCGTCTTTATGAAAAGAAATGCTTTCCTTTCTCACCCACATTTTATTTCTCTTTCTGTCCGATAGGCTAACTTGCCCCTCCTGCAGAGGGAGCTGCTTCACTGTGCTCGGATGGCTAAGCAGACCCCAGCCCAGTATCTGGCCCAGCACGAACAGCTGCTGTTGGATGCCAATGCCAGCTCTCCCCTGGACTCCTCCGAGATCATGCTGGAACTCAACGAGCATGGCAAGAGACGTACCCCGGACAGGTATACACACTTTAACACACACAAACTGGTCTTTCTGTGTACCATTTTCATAACAAATACCTTAAGTCATAAATATCTACAAAGTCAAGCAAAAGGCAAAAATGTTGACAGCTACGGTAAATGTCAACACAACCTTGCCCTGGGCATACTTCTTCCTGTCTAGCTTCGAAATGCACACACACTCAATGTAATGAGTGGAGGGTGTGGGAAGGTTAGGCCACACAGAAGGAGACCATGAGGAGGGTAGAGAGAAGGTGGAAGTGTGTGTGGCGTGTCTGCCAGGTGCTGCCAGTTGCCTGTGGAGCAGAAACAGAATGAGATGCTCTAACATCACACAAACGCATATGCATACCAACAGACTCCATACATTGGCGAGACATTTAGAACTCTTGACAATCAAAAAATTCATTGTGGGATTTAAAGCACCAATATTTCTATTTGTCTCCTCCTTTTGTTTTTCTTCAACTCTCGCATCCGCACTGTCTCCTGTTAATTCCCCAGTAGCTGTCCATATGTCAGTGATGTGTCCAGATGGTGATCTTGCTGAACCCCTGCTTGAACTGATCCGGGGGGAGGGATGAAAAGAGAGAGAGAGGCAGAGAAAAAGAGAGGGGTGGGGGTAGAGGAATGGGCAATCCCCTACTTTAATCCATACACCTCCATCTCTGAAGCCTAGGCTTACAATATCACGGCAAGGGCCCCAGCTGTTGCTTTGAATTGTGGGATATCTGGCCACAACTGCAGAAATGCTGCAAAAGGTTGGAAGTTTTTAGGTTGGTTGTGGAGGCGGGCATGATGGGGTGTCGTACATGCAGCCAGATTCAGATGTCCGAGCCAACTGCACGCTACTCTCAAGTGCAAGAAAACAAGCTTGCACAGTCCTCGCACACACATGTATTTCATGCTCGCAGAAGGGAGAGGAGCTTTAGCCCTGAATGCCTGGCTGCTGCACTCAGCTAAACAGATTATTATCAACACTGCAGCACAGGCCAGCCAGATGGCTCCAAAACGCCAGTGTCACTGAACATCTGCCAAAGGGAGCAGCTCTCACAGTACAGCAGCTCAGGAGAGAGAGAGAAACGGGTGAGAACGGGAAAGATTAAGGGGTTGGGATTTAACTCATTTTCTTGGTATATGAAGGCTAGTCCACATATGGCTCACAGCTGGCCTCAACATTTGGACACATGAGTGGAGGGGCAGAGAGAAAGAGGGAGGTGGGATGGGTTAAACTGCAAGAATGCAAAACTATCAATAGCCCTCTTTCCTCTTGAAAATGTCCTTTTTACAGCATTTTTACAATCTTTATAACAGGACCAAAGAGAGTGCAGGGGACAGGGATGTCTTGCACCCGGAGCACCTGGCCAAACGTCCATGCACAGTGAGCCCCAGTCAGCGCTTCAGCCCAAGCAGTGGTTTACCTGCTCACCCTCCCCCCAATGGCCTACCGACGCATCCACCCAATGGCCTTCCACATCCTAACCCTCCTGCCCCACAGCACTACCGTTTGGAAGACATGGCACTCGCCCACCACTACAGAGACGCTTACAGACACGCAGAGCACAGGGACGTCCGGGATCGTCACCGGCAGACAGGTCAGGGTGGTGTTGTCTATAGTAAAATAAACCAATAAGCTACTTGGGGCCATGTTTACAGTGACTTTACCATAGTTAAAGGGTTAGTTCACCCAAAAATTCTGTCATTAATTACTCACCCTCATGTCGTTTCAAACCCGTAAGACCTTCGTTTATCTTCGGAACACAAACTAAGATATTTTTGATGGAATCTGAGAGCTGTCTGACCCTGCATAGACAACAGCTCTCAGATTCCATCAAAAATATCTTAATTTGTGTTCCGAAGATGAACGAAGGTCTTACGGGTTTGAAACGACATGAGGGTGAGTAATTAATGACAGAATTTTCATTTTTGGGTGAACTAACCCTTTAAGTGGTGTTGCTTTAAACAAGAATTCAAATTATACACAGTCACAGGTGTACATATATACATGCCGTTTTACAACAAATTTAAATATGGCTAATCCTAACAGAGTTTATGGTTTAGACTTTTGAATTTGAGTAATATTTCCAACTGCAGAAGTAATGGCAGGAGTGCAAAGCATTGAAGAATTGCACATACATAGACATGGTTTCTCTCTATTGTGATAGTGCGTATGCTAATGTAATGCTGTGCTTGTGTTACAGCCGTGCATGGAACACGTCAAGAGGAAGTGATTGATCATCGGCTGACAGACCGCGAGTGGGCTGAGGAATGGAAGCACCTCGATAACGTATGTGTGACCAGATGCTTTGTTTTTTTTAATTATCTTTCATACATAAAGCAGAGAGCATAATAGTTGCTAACTCTGATGAGGGAAAAACAAGTTATATCAGATTAATGTGGTTAGAATTAGTTTTGGTTGCTGGTCCAAGGTGATCTAACTACCATAACCAACTTGACCAAGATGGTGCACCAAGTCAAAAACAAGGTCAACTAATGGACATAAGGAAGTGGTACAGGAGGTAAAAGGTGTGAAAGACAAAACAGAAGAGCACCATAGTGGAGTGGACATTGACAGACATAAGCCGTGTCAAATATTCAATGGACACCTGATAGTAGATGACTTAGCTCAGACCTTTTCTGGATGACAGCAAGGCCTTTGTTATGCTTTTTGCTCACCTCACCATTGCCTCTATACAGACTTACATTCAGACACATATTGAATAAAAAGGCCACAGATGGAGTGAGGAACCCAGTGGAGGACGTTCCCACTGGAGAGAGCAGCTGAGACAAGGCTTGCAGTCTGTGAAATCAGGCTTATTCTGGACTGTATCCAAATCTGAAATAAATACAGCCAACAACATACTCAGAGAGTGAAGAATGGCATCACATGGATGAGGGGAGATCTTATTGAGGGGAGGTGGGTGGTTGGGGAAGATGGGAGGAAAGAGGACGAGAGTGAGAGAAGGCTGTAGAAGCATGGGGGAAGAATTAACTGCTTTGGCTTCTCCCACTGGCAGCACAGCTGTTGCAGGGCTATTGTTGCTTAACCACTCAACCGCTCACTGCACCACTGGATTACACACACACACACACACTCACAAAAAGCGTTCGAAATATCTCATGCTTGTGCTGCTCACTAATGCATCAGCCCTTCGAATAAAATATAGCATCTTTTTTTTTATTAGTAATGGCCAAAGAAGTTGCAATGTGAAAGTGTTATTGTGGACTTTAGGATGTAACTGGTCTAATGTTGGTTCATAACATCCTCTTCTACTATTTCCCATTTCTTTCTATCTCTCTATAGTTGCTGAACTGTATCATGGATATGGTGGAGAAGACGCGGCGTTCCCTCACCGTGCTGCGACGCTGCCAGGAGGCGGACCGTGAGGAGATGAACCACTGGATCCGTCGCTATAGCGATGTGGAGGATATGAAAAAAGGTGGGAGCTCCACCCAGCGGCCTCCTCCTCTTCCTCCCCACCACAACTCTTCCTCCTCCAACACTCCTAACAGCAGCGACACACAACCGCTAGGTACATGCACCGCTGCAGATGCAGCCGAAGATGCTCGGCACGCAGCATGTCTCACACATTCTTAGCGACCACCCTCGTCTAAGTGGTTTCCATTAGCCAACACACCACTCAGATTAATGTGATTTAAAACTAAACTTAACAAAAATCTGACCAGTCTTTTTAGGTGACCAGTCAGAAGTCAGAAAGAGCTTTATTACCAACTTATGTTTACACACACAAGGAATTTGACTTGATGACAGGAGCTTCCAGTGCAGAAGAAAGTACAGACATAGTGCAACATACATGATAGTGCAGACATACATAGGAATAAAACAGTAGAAATGGAATATAACACTAATATAAGTAAAATAAATAAATAATGCACTATATACAGACGTAGTAGTGTAGGAAAATGTTTTAATTGTTTAAATGAATGTACCGATGTTATTTACAAGTGTGCAGTTTACATATGTACAAATTTCGAATTCTATGTATAAATATGTCAGTTATGATGGGCAATGTATAGTTGCATGTGATCCCACATTTAGCCCACTTACCTTACCTTACAATTTATCTCTGCCCTACCATTTCTTGTCTATAGCCAAGGCATGGGGCAGCTAATTCTTGTCTGTCACACCATGTCCTAACCCACCCTGTTCCTAGGGACTCAAAGTACTGTATTTGGAAGTCTCTGTAAGCTAGCACATCTGATTCCACTCAATAAGTCATTAGTACAGTGATCTATGATTTGAATTAGGTGTCATGTAAGGGAGACATCCAAAATATGCAGTACTATAGGTTCCTGAGAATAGTGTTGGGAAACACTGTTCTAACCAAGCAAAACGAGTAATTTTTTTTGTCACTGAAAGCAAAAATAATGCACGACACTGCCAGACACAACATATTCAATGTTTAAGAGGGATTTTGTACCAATGAAATTTCACTGTGATAGGGGCTACCCAGTGTGATGAAACAGAAAAATAAAACAAGCAGCCAAGTAAACTGTCGATATTTATGATTGCAGCAATTAGGACTAAACCATTTTTTGCATCACATCTGGTAAGGATATGCTTGTCAGCCTCCAAAAGCATGTCATGATTTCAAAGTTGCACTATATTGTTTTGTTTTTTTGAAAATGCTTTTCTCTCATCCAGGTGAACTCAAGTCGCTTTTTTCATGTTCTTTTACAGAAATCCACAGAGACTTCCTGCACCGGCCCCCGTCAGGCTACCTACCCGAGGAGATCTGGCGGAAGGCTGGTAAGTGCATTTGGACAGTGCATTGTCTACTGTCACCTACTTCCACACGTGCACACAGACATATGCACAGTGGCCTGCAGGGCCTCACAGCCGTAGTTATGCAAGGCCAGGAGCGGGAAAGGCCGTTGAATTCCGTTATTGTTGAGAGCTCTCCATCTGTCACGACCATGAAAGACAACAGCAGTTAAAGCTGCAGTGAGAATGCAGTAACCTGCCGAAGTCAACAGCAGAGCAGCACAGGTAGGGCCAATAAACCTGACCCTGCCCGAAGAAAGAAAGAAAGAAAGAAAGAAAGAAAGAAAAGTGAGAGAAAAGCACGGCTGGATTGTTCTTGTTCACTAGAGTCTGTTTTATTACTGTAGTTAGATATATAGTAAAAGGTTTAGGGGGCTGTACATAAGCCTGCTTGCCCTCTGTGCCATGTAGGTCACACACAATACTGATGGGGTCAGCCAGAGCACAGGTGGTGTCACTCGCCCAAAGGTCAGAGATCAAAGGGCACTTATTAACTGTGACCCACACTAGTAACATTACAGCTAAGTAAAATCAATATGCCATTACTAATTTAAAATGCTGGAATAATGCTGCTGTTGTCTGCAAAACTTAGCTGCATTTTCACTGTGACAAAAGCCTTTTTAACTGCAGTTGTTTTTCATGCAGGTGCTACAAGTATCCCGCTCTCGCCAGCATTAAAGCAACTCCAGAACAAGCAGGGTGAGTAACAGCACCCGCATTACAAACCAACCTGCTCTTTTTTCATTTTATTGCATAGATGGCCCTGTATAATTTTTCTAATGCAAACAAATGAGACAAATATTGACATGTATTAAGAATGCAGAACTATTAAATTAATGTGGACAGCATAGCTCAAACAAATCAGACTTTGACATATTTGATGAAAAATGTTTGAAATCATATTGATATTTTTTGGTGGAGTGTAAACCATAGTTTAAAGCATTGACAGGTCTCTTCTGAAACTTCCAGAGGTAAACCGAAAACTGAGATTAGCTACTAAAAGTGAGACTACTAGGATCTTTTTCGGAGGAGAAATGTTTTTAGAAACTGCTAATTCATTGCTGTCTATGGGAATTAATTGAGATATTAAAGGAGTGCCAAACATGAATTTTCTTACCTGTGGGTGTCTAGATTTTCATGTCCTTCGGCCTTTGGTGAGGCCTGTCTTTGAAAATGCAAGAGAATAGCAAAAGGGAAAAAAATACTGTCATATCCCTGTGGGATTAAAACGTTAATATTGCCGCCCCATGTTTTCCATTATGTGCCAATTGCTCTAGCATCTGCTCCCAAGTCTCCTTGATAAAAATTAATTAAATTTGCAAACTAATTTTAGTGGTGCATGTTCCGATTCTGATTAAGCAGTCTAGTGTTTTCAAAGATACAGAAAAACTGGCGAGAACCAAAAAGATTAAGAAAAAAGCAAAGAAGTGAAGAATGAAGGCAGAGACAGGATGAAAAAATGAGGAGATGTGTGTGGGAGGTGCGGAGAGAACAAACTGAATACTAACTAGCTTTCCAGCTGAGACAGTAGTGATGTAGATGAAAACACACACACATACACTCAGTCAAGTCAGTAGCCTGAGGCAGAACTCTATGGAGAATTGAATGGAGGGTGTGTTATGACAGATATTTATGAGCAGGTTCCTCACAACCAGCTTTCTAGAGTAAACACACTATGGGGCAAAGAGTATAGAGCCCAGACATATGAAAAATCTGCAATAAGAATGTTTGTGTGTGTGTGTGTGTGTGTGTGTACACCCTGCAGCAATACACATGCATTCACCAAGCACATCATATCCTGACAGATTCTGAAATCACCCACATTCTGTCTAAACCATTACCCCACAAAACAGTAGACAGCATTCTAACATAAATGGAACTTTAAAAGTGACTGTTTGTAAAGATTCCGCATAGGAAACTCCTTATGTGAGGTGCATGAGAATTTGGTATTTGGTGTTAGCATGTTGCTAAGCTAACAACGTGATACTAAAAGCAGATTGTAAGCCCTCTTTTGAGGCACGCGCAAGCGCACGAACCCCCTGTTATAAAAAAAAAACGAGTGGGCTCCCCCAAAGTCCACGGTATAGTTCGAACACTGACTAAAAGAATCATTTCACACAAAAATACTGGGTAAAATAATTCATTTTAAATTTTATTTTACAATGATTATTTTCCATACTGAATGCAATACAAATGTATGTATAATCATTTGTAGTCTTAAAACGCCTACCATTTTAGATACATTGTTCTGCTTGTCACAACGCAAACTGGGGTTGCTTTTTCAGCAAATGATGGATGCATTAGATTTTGCCCAAATCTTTTAAGACAGCATGCATCTATTGTTTGGGACAGCCTTCACATTGAAAATGTCACTCTGATGCCCTAAAATGTGGTTTAGGTCACCTAGCTCACTAGGTTTTAGAGCTTATGTTAAAGGGGTCATATGATGCTGCTAAAAAGAACATTATTTTGTGTATTTGGTGTAATGAAATGTGTTTATGCGGTTTAAAGTTAAAAAAACACATTATTTTCCACATACTGTACATTATTGTTTCTCCTCTATGCCCCGCCTTTTTGAAACGCGTCGATTTTTACAAAACTCATCGGTCTGAAAAAGCGAGGTATGCTGTGATTGGCCAGCTATCCAATGCGTTGTGATTGGCCGAATACCTCAAGCGTGAGACAGAAATGTTACGCCCCTCACATACTGTTGATGCCGTGTCAGGCCGGAGCGACGAGACATAAACATGAAAACCCATTACAAATTTGTTTGCATCCAGTGGGGACATAATTACTGATTATAATGACTTATACTGTCGTTTTACGCGTTGCGTTGCATTGCGCCGCGTAAACATAAAACCGCCTTCTTTTTTTGCGTGAACATTTGGGCGGCGTTATGCATATCTTCCCACATAGTGAGGTAGATATGTGGGGGCGTGTTCGAACGAGCCGTTTTAGGTAGGTGTGGCTAACTCTTAACTTTTATAAAGAATATCTCTTTGGATTTGAGACTTTAGTCTTTGCAACTTTACAGATCTTCTTTATGCACCAAGAGCTTGTAACACTCTAAAGAGAAAGGAAAAAATGAAATCGTATCATATGACCCCTTTAAATGTTCACATTTAAAAAAGGCCAAGGAAAGACAATGGAGCACAAGGAACCCTAATGTTCAGAGTGCTAATGAGTCAGGTGTTAGATTTCTATTTTAGACAACACCCGTACACATTCACACCTGCGTGTCCTGAAAACACACGTAGGCCTATATACGCGCACACACAAACATTTACTCTCAAACAATGGCATTTGGTAGAACAATGGTAGAGCAAGGTTTGCCACTAGTCATCCTGGTTTTCCTTCTTCTATATGGAACGATCCAGCCTCAGTAATGAAGTTGTGCATTTGCTCTGCCATTTATCCACTTAGTAAAAAAATATGAAATATTTAATAATGTATTGTTAGGTACATAGGCAAGCTTGTGAACAACCTTTCAAGATGTCTACTGCCTATCAACACTAGAAATAATTGTAACCACTGTTGTTCGGATCAATTATTAATAGCTTATTTTTCTGACAGAATGTTTTAAATCTTGGATGGTGTACATCTGTTTGGAGAGATGCAACAAGCTGAAAGCTTTGAGTGCCTCAATAAAGGATGTTGAGAGGAACAGCAGTGGTCTACGGGGATAATGTCTTATTTTTTTCTCTTGATATTCCTTCCTCATTTTCCAGAAGAGGCAGTAAATGAAGTGAAGAGACAGGCCATGTCAGAGCTGCAGAAGGCGGTGTCGGATGCTGAGAGGAAAGCTCACGAGATGATCTCTGCTGAGCGCTCCAAGATGGAGAGAGCTCTGGCCGAGGCTAAGAGACAGGCCTCTGAGGATGCGCTGACTGTCATTAACCAGCAGGAGGACTCCAGTGAAGTAAGTACCACACGTAGCCAATGTTCAGAATAGATGACTAGTATACTGCATACTGCCTACTATTGGATATTGCTTCAGTTCATTCGTCACACTAAAGACAATGTTCTCTGGTTGTTCACTGCCCATTTTGGCAAAGGCAGCGGGTCATCTAGGTATTTTACACATACTGTATAGTGTACATACCACTGTTGGTCACAGACAAGACAGGGGGTCTGTTAAAACTCAATGGGCTCAGGGGAGGCAAGAAAGACTCCAGCTGTAACTTTACCTGCTTGTGTCGCTGTTGGACAGTGTTTCTTTAGAAAAACAAGTGATTTATACAATTGTTTTTGTTTTGTAATATTTTGTAATATTTGCATTATTTTTGTACTACAAATTTTTTTTTTCTCATACAATATTTTGAGGAGGCACTGCCTCCCTTGCCTCCTCAAAGGAAGTGAAGTAGTACTATATGATAGTTTGCCATTTGGAAACATATCCACATATTAACATGCAACATTAAATACAATAAGTTTCATAAGATACTGTACTCTGTGATTAAGTGCATTCTTTATCATGGCATGGAGATTGATATTTGTTTGTAAGGCAATCATAAAACAGTCCTCGTTCATCTCCCTCCTACAGAGCTGCTGGAACTGTGGTCGCAAGGCTAGCGAGACGTGCAGCGGATGCAACACTGCGCGCTACTGTGGTTCTTTCTGTCAGCACAAGGACTGGGAGAAGCACCATCACGTATGTGGCCAGGGCCTGCCCGGGAGTAGCAGCGTGCCACTCGGGACACCATCTACCACCTCCATCTCCTCCTCGTCCAGTGCGCCCCCCACACACTCCGAAAGCACCCCTCCAGGCCCCTTGTCCCTGGTGGGGCAAACCAGCAGCAGTGGCAGTCCCAAGGAAGCGAGCTCCAGCAGCGTTTCTCGCTCAACCACTCCAGCAACACCCGCCCTGATGGATTCCTCGTCCCGCTGACTGATGAACCCCAAATCTTAACCCATGCCCAGCCACGTCTACTGCTGCTACAGCATCCTTCATCCAAAACAAGCTGAGGAACCTCCACCATACTTAACATCCTCTCAAAATGAACTACGGCAACCTGGCTTCCACATCTACATTAAGATCTTGTTTTCTCAATCTCCAAAAAAACCATCAAGGCTCAGATCCTTCACAAAAGGATCTACTGTGTTTAAAGGCACAATATGTAAGATTTTTTGATTAAAATATCCCAAAACCACTAGAACAGTGTTATATATTTTGCTGACTTGTGTACTTAAATTATCCCAAATGTTTTGAAGAATGTTTAAATCCAGAGAAATAAGCAATTTTAACTAGTGTAACAGACCGTGTCCATAGTGTCATTGCATCGCCTGCCAATGACGTCATAACCCCTCGATTTTTCCGTTTTTATTTTGTTGAAAACATGGAAACCCCAAAGACACTTTAATATGTTATGCATTTTATTAGACAGGTGACGAACGCACAGAGTAGCATTATAACGGAACTTTCAATACACTCAAATGTATAAAACAGCACTGTTTTACCCCACATACGCATGACCGGAAGAAGCAGAAGCAGTCGACTGTGGCATAATAAAAGCTCTGCTGCTATCGAGCCGTGTATCGCGCTCGTCCTTCATTAGCAATCACTCCAGCGGCCTCGTTTAGCTTCCACGACTTTTAGCCCCACCCTGCTTCATACTACGAAGCAGAAGCAGTCGACTGTGGCATAATAAAAGCTCTGCTGCTATCGAGCCGTGTATCGCGCTCGTCCTTCATTAGCAATCACTCCAGCGGCCTCGTTTAGCTTCCACGACTTTTAGCCCCACCCTGCTTCATACTACAGTGACCTTAATAAGTCTTTAATACATTAGCTCATCAATTAACATTATTTCTGCCCGAGTCCTGTCGGATTGCATTGGCTGTAGGGATGAAGACGACAACTCCCATGATTCCAGTCACGGCGTCATCATACTACGTCTTTGTTTCTTGTTTGTTTTGAATATACACCCTCTAGCGACGAAAACTTACATATTGTGCCTTTAATGCAACATGAGCAGGGTCTGTTATACTGGATGCCACCGAGAAAGCCAGGAAAACACGAATAGTTACACATTACATGTTTTATTCATGTATAAGACAATTTTAGGCATGTTACCTACACCCTTTAAGTGAGGTGAGCTCTGTGAATTGGGGTGGCACCATACTCTGAACATGTCTTGACCCAGGTAGGACTAAATATACAGTATGTAGGATGGATTCCTCTAAAATGACCGACAGCCGCCACTGCGGAATGTCAATAAAGGACAAGAGCACTCGGAATATCTTCCACCACAGAGCTACTTCCTCACAACATGACACACTGCATTTCATTTTTTGGCTTTAATTAAAACAAAAGAAAAGTCCAAAAATCCAAAAGAAATAATAATGATGATGATTAATAAGAAGAATAAAACCTGTTAACTACCTTGCTAGCGAGCCAAGAAAATCTACACCAGACTCACCTCTCTGTACTGATGTGAACCCAAATGAATTTTAAGTGAAAAAAAAAAGAACATGATCCAAACCTTTTTACTACACTGCCAAAGTTACTAAGAAGCACTCATCTTGTAACCAAACGCAAACAACTTCACCTCCTCAGCAGTAAAGCCAGCCCAGAGTTCCACAGTCTGTGGAGAGGTGGCATGGTGACTAGACACTCAAACCTTCACTGTGCCCACTGTGCTGCCCACTCAGATCCTGAGGAACGCAGATTTTAGCCCGGATCCATGGCTATGGCAACGGAGGGTCGCACCTGGGATGTTTAAAGCACGTCACCCAGTCCACCGCAAAGAGAAATGACATGAAAACGAAAGAGAAGGCGAGGATGAGTAAACGAAAAGAGACAGATTGGCCTCAAAAGGAAAGACGAACGCAACGGAACTGCCAAAAACCTCATTGGATTGTACACTAAGAATGAGCCTTTTCTTGTGAAACATTTTCGTTTGGTTTTCCTAAAGCTCTCTGAATGCTGAGACATTTCATTTTGTAGTACGATTTCATTCTCCCTCGTTTTCCAAAGCATGACAAGACTGTAGAGTCTCACGAGACTGGCGTAGACTTGGTTCTCGTTTCTCTCGCTCTTTCTACCTCCCCCCATCTTCTATATGTTCATCCCTTTTGTCTCCTGACAGAACCTCTAAGCAGATATCCATGAAGGGATCAAACGTTGCTTGTAGATATTACTTTCTGTTTCTGGATGTCTCTGTCTTCAATATCTGCTTGTGTGCGTACTCAGAACGAGGAACGCGTTCTTTCTTTGTCTTCTTTTAGGTTTCAGCCGAACATTGGACAGAAAAAGACACTCTAATGGGAGAGAAGCTGTGTTGTACCTATTGTTCGATTTGTTGTATCAATATTGATGATGAGAATCCTCATGTAGAATATTTTATATTGCTCGCATTGTAAGACAGTGAGAGAACGGAGGTGCAATATGAAAAGAGAATTCAGCTACTGAATGGAACCTCAGAAACGGCCCTTAGGGTATCTTATAATATAAATACACATATAAATATATCTAAAATTACCACAGTAAATTAATGTGAATGTACATAGTATTTAAAAAGAGGTCCAAAAATGAGTTTGCCAAATAACAGAAACCTTTAAAGTATAATGTCTAGAATTTAATTTCTCTCCATTTAATCTTTTCTGTCTGAATGATCATTTTACAACGTCTGTTGTAACAGTGGAGGAGGAAGAGGTGTTCACATCACTGCTCGTGTAGATTACTGCAAGAGGACTCTGCTTATGGACACGCTGGGCGAGACGTTTTTGTAGCCGTAAGCGTGTCGAAGCAAATGGCATAACTTTAACAAAACCACAATAAGACTGACCTAGCTCGCCCCGCTGAAGTTCCCAGACTGGCATTTGGGAGGGAAGCCGCTAGAATCTGTGTGAAACATTGCCATCCTTTGGGCCAAAGTGTCACTGCAGTGGTCCAATGTGTAATTTGCACACACAAACACACATGCATGCACATACAATCACAAAACCAAACCCTTGATTATCCATAGTCCAAGTGTCTGACGCATGAATCAAGCAAAGACTATCTGGTTCTCATCTGGTTTTGCTACAGTTCCCAGATTTTGCTTTGGACATCAGGTTGTGATCCAACATAGTACCGAAACATAATCCATATTTAATGTAGTCTGGATAATATCCGTAGAAGTTGCTGTGTGCACCGAGCAAGCTCTGCTGATCCCAACATTCATGTTCCTTAAGGCCTGTTCGTGACGGCAGTTACAACGGAAAAGACTACCCCTCAGAGTAAAAATACTTTGAATTTTGCCACCAGCTTACACTTGCAACCCTGTTTACAGCCTTTGTTTTGGTCAGATATAATTTTCTGCAGTCTAATTGAAATGCCAATTTTGCTGATTACGTGGCGTACCTCTGATACGGACCAAACTTGAAAGGCCAGTTTTTTTTTTTTGGTGTTGCTTTAGGTGTGAGGTGGGTTGATGGTTTAACTTATCACGTGGCATGTGCTAATTATCTATCTTCCTATCGGATTTCTAAATTAATGTATGAACTCATTCAGGAAATATCAGCAACACGTGATCTAAAAACCAGTGAATTACTAGAACACCAGTCTGATATTATAGGTCTCTCTCTCTCTCACCCATTTTGAAGAGGATTTTTCATGAACCATCTTCTCTTTCCTTACTAGCTACCTCCTGTAAACAAATCCAAGGCAGTTTGAATGAATGAAACCACTAGCAGACATGCAAATCTATCATCCTGCCCAAGCTAAACAAGACATTTCAACATAGAAACTCCAAATTTTCATGTCTATACAAGTGATGGGGCAACAAAGACCTGTTTTTTCATGGGCTGTTATACAACAAATTAAGCCAAAAACACTCTACAGAAGTACGTAGCGATGCAAAAGCATGCACTCTTGTGTTACTGTTGTGTTACTGCGGCATTAACCAAACTCAGTTCTCAAGGGTGTAAAGTAAAGTTAGTTTCAAATGTCTGTGCCGTTAAACCAGATGTGTTATTATTCAGGTAGCTTAACCTTGACAGTTGAAACCAACTTTAACTAACTTGCACAGCAAAATTCTCTTTAAACTGTTGCTCTGCTATGACTTTAGTTTACCTGTCTGTAGAAGAGTACTGACTGTAGAAAAAAAGTGTTTACATTCATGCCCGCTATGGCAAGTCTTAGAATTGTTGTGTCATGAACTGTCCTGACACATTCAGAATGCAACAATGAGTGAAACTGAGCTTGCGCCCTGAACATAAAAATATCTCGTAAATATCCAAAACGATAAAAGCACAGACCAAAGCATAACTGCACATCCATAGAAGCCGTTTGGACATTGCGTCGCCTAAAAAAAGCAGCCTGAACGTGGGTGAGCGACTATACCCATAAACCAAAGTGTACAAAATGGCCATGTTGAAAGCACAAGACAACAGTAAACACATTAAGAGAAGAAATCTGTACTATAATTCCAAGCCAGGGGAGTGCTTGTTCCTGGCATCCAAAGCATCAGATAAGATTACAAATGCTTCTAACACTTAAACCAACCTTGCTCAAAGATTTCATTATGGGAATGCATGAGTGTGAGTGAGAGATTTAAAAAAATAGAGTGAGAGATTGATTGATGATTTTATGACTTTCTATTGATGATTTTGCTAAGGAACTTACTTGAATCTCAAGAGCTTTAAAATAACAACATTAGCAAAGTTATGGTAGAGAACTTCCATAAACTCATATTGAGCTTTGCATGTCTGCTAGTCCAGAACTCATACAAATATATATTTACAATATTTTTGGCCATTCTGTTCCTAACCAAAATCGAACCAAAAACAACACCATGCAAATGCATCTTTAACTGTGTGCTGTAATTCCGCTGTTATCTGGCATAACGAAGGGCCGTCATTCTCAAAGCAAATTTGTGGATGCCTAGATTTGGTCAGCATTTGGCCTTGTTAGTGAGCCCAAGTTGGGTAGCTGCTCCGTTCAAAGATTGACATTGGGAAAGAGAGAGAGAAACTACATCCTACACATTAAGCGAACACATTCTTGAAGTAAAACGGATGCTGAAGGATAACTAGTCAACAACCTGTTTTTAGTTATGACCTGTTTATCTTGACATCCCAAAAACCCTCCCGAAAAAACAAACACCTTAAACCAGCCTAAGGTCACCAAGCTGGTTTCTGGCTGGGAGACTAGCGATACTACCAAAACCA